GAGATCTAGCTTTATGGGAATCAGATAAATAACATGCATCTACATAACCAATATGATTTGCACCACCTTTGTTAGCATTAACAAGATACATAAGTGCACCAATTGCACTAAGATAGAGTATTTCAGGACCAAGGAGTTCCTCATCCTCTTTTGGAGGTCAGAACGAATCCTTATTCACATCAAGTAATCGAGCACCCATTTGGTGTACATAATGGGTGCGCTTTGTCCATGTAAAAGTGTTTTAAGACCTTTTATGTATAGACCGATTGATGAATAAAGATCACGTCTGCTAAATATTCAATTTGCAGACTAAGACAAAGTTTTTCCCTTTGGAGCTCTTCTAGAGTTCCTATGAGATTTATGTCATTAACATAAACAACAAGTATAACAAACTCTTATGTTGTTTTCTTTGTAAAAATGTATGGACAAATGCCATCATTTATATAACCTTCATTCATCAATTTAGTGAGGCGATTATACCACATGCGCCCTGATTGTTTTAAATCATACAAAGATTTTTGTAATCTGATTGAGTACATTTCTCGAGACTTTGAACTATATGCTTCAAGCATTTTAAATCCTTCAGGGATCTTTATATAAATTTGATCAAATGAGTCATATAGGTTATGACTTGCATCTAAATGGCATGACATCTTCAGGTGTCTGGACTACAGGTCTGATCCTCACAATCTTTTATAATATTGTGCACTATATTGTATCAAATATATCATCGACGACTATTTTGTATCGGTTCGCAAGTGACATAACTTGCTGAGATCTCATCACTTTCTTTGTTTTCGGGTACCTGAACTTCTTCTGGAGTTTCATGAAATGTTATGTCGTGGGCTATTCCAGAGCTCATTTCCTCCTCATTATGATCATTTTGATCATTTGCTCCTATCCTTTACAGGGAATGTTACCTTTGGAACCGATCGGTTTACTACGCTTCATGCGTGCAGTAAACTTTATCCTTCAGAGATTTTAATTTTAATAGGAGCATTTACAGCTAAAATATGATATTTAATTTTGGATCAGCAAATGCTTCTGGCATTTGACTTAAATTATGTTCTAAGTGAGGATCATATTAATGATAATTCGATTCATATAGCATATTTTCCAGCTGTTTATTCCATCCCCAAATATTAGAAAAACTAACTCGTATCCCCGATCTTCTTTGGGAAACCTATCTTTATGCATTGTGGTAGAAAAATTAATCATATACCACACATCAAAAGTTATTAGATAGTAAAAATATTTAATTTTTGATCCTAAACCAATTGTGAGGAGAGGACTTATTATATCTTATTGGTCTGATGCATACAAATGTTGCAGTATGCAATTTAGAAAATTTTAGACCAACACATGGAGCTTTGTTCTCATAAGCAATAGTTTAGTCATTAATAGGAGGTATTCAATGCTAAACTAGCTTGGATATAAACCACCATCATCAAGATGAACTATCTTGATTTCATAATCTGAAAATTATGCTCTTAATTGAGAAAGGCAATTTCAAATGCCAAACTGCAGGTTGACAATAAACACATGTAACCATCTCATATATGCATCTATAAGTAGTTCACATGATAGGTTAATGGACCCATATTCACCTTTTATATATTTCAGAATTTAGGGGTTTTAATCCCAACTTTAGCTGGTATAATCAATTTATTATGAGAACAAGCAACACAAGAGAATTCTCGAAAAGTCTTCTAGTTCTTCAGTATATGCTTATCTGAATTCTCAAATAGCTCATTTAAAAATGGCAAATGAAAACTTCAAGTTTATCATGGCATGTGCTATCTCTAAGTAAACTTCTGGTTCATTATGGCATAAACTTTTGCATTAGTAAACTTCTGATTTGCTGTGACTACTTTTGTATCAGTAAATTTCTGGTTTACAGTAGCTACTTTTGCCTCAGTAAAACTTCTGGTTTACTGTGACTGCTTTTGCATTAGTAAAAAAACTTCTGGTTTACTGTGATACATGATGTACTACAAATTGAATAATAAGGCGGGTACCTTCTCACATACATATTATTTTACTCACTCTAATTGTGGAAACAGAAAGATTTTCAATCTTCCAATCATTTGTGGTCTCAATATGATAGCCATTTGTATCAGTAAACTTCGGGTTTACTACAACATATGTTTTGGCCATAATCATATAATATGAATGACATATTTGAATATAAGCTATTCGAGAGACTTCATTTATTATCCACAATCTAATATTATTCGGACACTACTTGTGTCACGTGTCTTCTAGACAAACAATTAGTTCTTTAGGAGTTTTTGATACATTTTGTACTATCACATATTGCTCAGACACTTCTGATATCATGAGAGAAAATCATAATCAAATAAACAATATAAAGACAATTATAAATTTATAAATGTCAGAAATCAAGAATTTTAATATTTTTACCACCAACTTTGTGACAAATATCTCCTTTAGGGAGAAACGCTATTAACATCTGAATATTTTATACCAAAGAGGCAACCACAGTCATTACATCCTCTAGGAAAATATACATGAGTTGTTATTTTCTTCAGGGTAGTTAATAATAACTAACCATAATATATCAATGTGGTTGTAGTAGAAAGTATTCTACAAGAATGTTTTTGCCTTAGAATGATACATAATAAAATTATCCAAGATGTTTTACGTATAACAGGTACGTGTGGCAATGATCTTTATACTACAAAAATAATATTTATATTCTCTATTATTCTACCTCTTCAGGAGGTGAGTTGTGGTATTTTTTCATTCACTCTAGGGAATGAAAATGTACTTCAAATATAACTTTGAATAACTCATTATTTTGTTTAAGCACAGAAAGACACTGCTTCAAAATATTTTTCTACTTCAGGAGGAAAATTCAATTGTTTTACTTCTTCAAGAGCAAATTTAAAATACCAAATATTTAGTATATATATATTCTCTCAATCATAATAACTCTTCTGGAGGTGAATTGTAATATATTTACATCAAGAGTGCGTTCATATTTACGGCTTTATTAATATTATCACATTCACTTCAGGGAATGGATTAATATTTATAAAAAATTCTCATCCTTCAAGAAATCGAATATAATTATCTGAATGTGTATTAATCACATCAAATTGTGATGCTTCAACCTCTTTTAAAATATTTACTATTTCGGGAGCAAATCGAGGCATGCATATATTATAGAGAATATTTCTCTAGTTTATCTTTAATTATAACCATAAAAAGCCTAAATTATTACTTCTGGTGGTTATAGACATATATCACTTATGGTGGTTAACAAAATTTAGTTACAATGAGATATACGAAACATAACCACTTCTGGTGGTTGTATATTTCTTGCAAGCTCTGCCGGAGTTTAAGTGGATCTAACAATGTTATCCACTTTGTAATCCTTTATTAAGATAATTAGGATGAAAACAAATATCAAAATAGGTATTGTATACGTAGCATATAACCAAGCAAGCGATAATAAAGATATTAAAATATAAGCAAAAAGCTCAAATTAATTTACGCAAATTTGGCCACTCCAGATGTAAGTGATAACTATATCACTATTGCCAAGAAAAAAAACTCATCACCTCAAGGATATAATCTGCCTTATGATGCTCGGAATGAACAAGATCTAACTACGGGCATAAAAGCGTCTCCTTACATCGTAGATGAGCACTACAATAGAAATTAAATTCGAAGTAAGTGCTCAAAATGACAGAGTCTCGTGCTGATAACATGTTATAAAATAAAAACTATAAAGTAAATAAATCGAAGACAAGTATAGCGAGATTGATATATTATTCAATTTCAAACTCATATACATAATGAACTGAAAACTCCTCTATTTATAGAAGAAAGGAAACAACTGCGAGGCTTTTCAGGAAGCAGTTGCGAGGCTTTTCTTGAGCTGCTCGTAAGCTGTCTACATGAGCCGCTTGCAACCTGCATGTTTAATAAGAAACTGCTGCAAATCATTTCATTGAGTTGCTTGCAACCTGCCTACATCGGCTGCTTGTAGATAAACTTCAATAGAGTACCAAACTAATAATCTTTTTCAGGATGATTATCTATAGCGGAGACATCCACATTATAATTATTTTCATAACACATAGCTTAAATTAAAAAAACTTGATTTTTACATGATTCTCTCCTCCTATTTTCCATTATCTTTGAGGTAGGGCTGTTCAAAACTGAACCGAAACCGTTAACCGAACCGAACCAATGGCTTCTTGGCTTATTGATATCGGATTATAAGGGTAATGGATGGTGAACAGATTGAGATTTTATAATTAACGGCTTAACGGTTTGGGGGCGGATTACTCAATTTTCTTATCGGGTAAACCGTTAATCCGTTAAGAATTTTTATATTTATACTTTTAACCCTATGTATATAAAGTACTATTGAAACCCTAAATGGCTAAATTCCTAATTTCTATATTCTCAATTGTCTGCGGCCACTAGAGACAAAGAAATCGTCAATCTTGTCTCTCTCTTGAACTGACAACTGAGAAGTAAAAAAATCGAAATTTAAATGATTAATACGTGTATGTCTGTATGAGTAGTCTTGATGGTATTAAAAATTTGGTTAATACGTGTATGGCAATATAAGTAGTTTTAAAGATTCTTCAATTAAAAAATACCGTTTGATTAGATCTTAGATGGTATTAAAAATTTGGTATTGATTTGAAACTGTTTCGTATTGATTGAATGATTGTTCAAAAAATTTCTATTTGGTTTAGCCGATAAACCGTCCGATAATTATTAATCCAATACCAATTCGCCCGTTATCTTATTGGATGACTAACAAATTACTACATTTATAATCCAATAACTATTAAGCCAAAACTAATTATTCCTCTGATCCACTCGATAAGAAACCGTGCTTTGAGCTATATCCCATGGAAAAAAAACCCGAAGAAGTCAAAGAAAGCAAAAGTATACTTTATTTTTTGAAAGAGAGAGAGAGGAAAGGAAAAAAAAGGAAAAAAAAAAANCCGATTACTGTAACCCCTTTTACCCTTTTATTTTATGCAATGATTTTTGAAACCCTATAACCCCCAAAACTTGTCTAAACTCACCCATTTCCTCAGCTCATCATCAGTTGGACAACTTCTTTCTTAACTCTGCTGAATCGGGTGAAAATTTTATTTCTTTTTAATATAGTACTTGTAAATAATAATACTTGTATTTAAGTTTATGTTTTTTTTGTTCCTTCAACTATCCAGATCATTTTCCTTTTTTCTTTATAGTATAATTATGCAATGCACAGAGGAAGAAGAAAATAAAAATATAGAAGTGAATGGGTTTCATGACTTAGATTTTGGAAAGGAAAAAAAGGGACAAAATATCATAGATTGGTGATCTTCTACTTTCATTCGCTAGAGTATACTTGATATGCTATTTTGGGCCTTTTTGTTATTACTGAAGAAAATGTTTGGTCTTCTTCTTTTGCTTTACCTTTATCTCAACCGGCTGTCTTCTTTAAGTTTTGAGGCTTAAAACATTAGCCATGTTGTCCTTTTTTTTTTTTTTTTTTGCAGAAAACATCTTTTAATCTAAACAAAGAAATTTTTTATAAGTTGAATATTTCATTTTAAATTTATGTAAACAGAGACCATCTTGAAATTTAGTCAAGTTTAACCAGAAAAAAGCAATAGAAGACTTTTGTTCCTTTGGACAGTGGCAAAAGCATTTTGTTCTGTATACTCTGTGATGAGTTTATATGGAGTAATATGGTCAGTTAGGATTCATATAGCCGACTCCAATTTGTTTGGACTGAAGCATAATTGTTGTTGACAATGGACAAAACGTTTTATTCTTGAAATAGCTGATGTTGAAGTTGCAATAGTAGTGTTAGTTTCTGTCTCTCTATCTTTTATTTCTGTTTACCATATAAATAAAGCCGACATGTTTAGAGAGGAAAGATGACAGTATAACATACTCCTAGTTTTTGTGATTACTTTATATAAAGAAAATAAAAGAACATTGTTTGCTATGGTAGCTGAGATTAACTCTCTTGCCTTGGGTTTAGTAAAGTAGTTGATCAATTGAAGCTTATGCATATTAACAATCACAGACGGGATTAAAGAGGAAAAGATGAGGATGGGGAGATTGTAATTGTATTATGGTTGACCTCTTCTCTTTATGGTGTTAAGTACAGATGGTTGACATCTGATGAAAGCTTGTTGAAGTGAAAAAAGACAATCTTTACAGATCGAAAGAAAGAAAATTTGCTTGGTAAAGATTAGTGCTCTCAGCTCACAATTGTGACATGGCTGCAAAACCTATTGCTGATACCATATGGAGGTACACTGCAAACCCTACTACTTTATCATTCTTTTTCCATCCTACCTCTCACCTCTTTTGGAGGATGCTGCAACTAGTTCTTATTAAGTTCTATGCATAAAATCTGGTTATTCTCATTTCACAGGGGTAGTTTCATGATCTCCCATCCGAAAGTGAGTTTGAATCTTACGGCCCATCTATCAAGTAAAGCATGCGCAAAAGTATGGCTGGCAGCTAAAGAGATGGCGGAGGTTCTGTGTTTTGAATTGCTTCCCAGGCTGGATGTCTGGCCTAAGATATTTAAAAGTTCTAAACTGATTGATGATAATATTGCCATTTATTTCTTTTCAGTTAAAGGCAGGTGCGGTAACCAACCTAGCCTATATCTCTGCTTTACCTGTTATACCACCTCTAATCTTGGTATGATTTTGTGTTTCAGAGATGATCAGGTTTTCGACAATCTGCTGTACAATTTAAGACACTACGACTTTGCTTTAAAAGCCTTGGTTGGTGATTCTGAACTCCTTATTTTTACCTCTGCTCAACTGCCAGAGAAGCATCAGAGTAATTGTTACCATCCCAAAGTCTTGAATGCCTACAAGCTTCTTTACATGTTTCAACTAACCACACTAAATTTGCAGGATTTGAGGGTCAATTATATCTATGGGGCGTTTTCAATGGAAGACAAGCTCCTCCTCAACACTCATCCGATGATTGTTTCATTTATAATACCCGAGTGACACAAGCTTCAACCCCAAAGTTAGCTAATGATGTTGTCATTGGGAAGGATGGAGGTTGCAATGAATTCTCCAATAAGAAAGACCCTTGTAAGTCTTTGAGTAACTAAACTTGTTGGTTGCTTGCTCTCACCCATGCATGATAACACATATCACCTTCATCAACATATGTAGATAATGTGGATTTCAGCTATATTTATTTGCTCTGTGTACATACACTTGAAAGGAAAATATTTTTGAAGATGCTAGCGGTTAAACTGAAGTTTAAAGATACATATTACTATGGGACATGTTGCGCACTATTGTTCAGAAAGATGTTTTAATTCATTTTATTACCTTTATTAAAAAAAAAATTCTTTTCTGATTTGATCTTTTCAGTTATCATTGCAAAACTGATCACCTCATCCTCTGAAGTTATGGTCATTTTATAGTTTGAAAAATTAGGGCCATCTTGAGGTGACGTGTAGTTCTTGCCCTTCACAACGAAAAATGATTGCAAGTGTGATTCATCAGATCTTTGTTAGTGTTTCCTGTGGAACTTATCCGCATTAAGTTCTCAATCTTCTGAATTCTGACATTCCCCTTTTCCCTACACCGAAATCTAGTTTTGAGAAAGTGCGAAGTAGTAAAACATGTGAAAAGAAAACATGTAGTAATAAAAAGCTAGTAGAAATTGATAGACGATGTAAAAGCAGAACTGAAGATCTAAATGGTTGGAAGCTTCTCTGTGAGAAAATATCATATAGGACTTTTAAAGGCCAATGGAGCATGCAAGAGATAATTTAGTCACGACGAGAGCTCACTAATCACTCAATACATTTGTAACATAGCTAATTGAAAATGACATTTCATCGATGTGATTTAGTTCACTAGAAATCAGGAGTTTGCCACAGCGCTCCGGTATTTAAGTTAGATCTTGATCGTCCTTTTCCCTCTTTCTAAAAGGAAGAAGCGCAGTTAGAAGTAAACAAATAATGTGTCCGTGGCCAACAATGTACTAATACCACTAGTTTGACCAACCGTTCTGCTGCCACAGTTTTCTACTCCTGCTAATAGTTTAGCACATTCGTTGTTGCTATTGGTTGTGGGGCCCAGAATCTCACAGCAAGAAAGCTTCCTGTCAATCCAAAATGTTAGAAAGAAAATTAGATCATGGAGGACTAATGGTAATGTTTCAGAAAGATGTGGCCTAAAAAATGCCCCAACTTTCTTGTCATTTTACATTTCTATATGAATCTACAGTACTTCATTGATTGTCCATGTGAAGTTGAAAGAAATCTCCATGAAACAGTATTGACATTCCTGTCCTTTTCTTATTCTTGTGTTTCTTTCTGACTCTATCTCGGAGGGGAATAGAAAAGTTTGTTTTAGGCATAGTGTTGAATGTGTGCCTTATAAGCCTTGTGTTTTACTTTTGATTGTTTTTACCAACCTTTTCTCCTGATAAAAGATTACTAACCCTTTAAATTGCACCGGCACCCTGTCATAAAGAGTTGGTCTCCTCCTACTTGAGGGAGTTGAAAATCCATGTTCAAAGTTAAAAGTTCCTTTTTATTTGATTTTTATCCATGTGTAGGCGTGTAGCATGAATACCCCAGTCTGCATGGATAGTTGGTTATGATATTTTTATAAATTTTGGGATTTTTAGGGTTTTGTATATGTTACATGATTATTGTATATTAACACCTTCGATGCAACATCGATAAGATTACTTTTGAACAATTTTTTTTAAAAGACAGAAAATTCAAGAATATGGGTTACTTACCAATTTGTTATTGTTTGTTTTAAACTTTTGTAGCGCTTCCATCATGCTCAATTACTAGTTTCTCTGCTTTTGTAACTTGCTTTTAGCACTTATTCAGTTCTAGGATGACCTCTGTTTTTTATTCCATTTTATTCTTTGTCTTAAATATCCTCCCCAAATCTGTGAAGTGAAAATCTTTTTCTTTAAATAAGCAGCACCTGCCTCAAAAACAGCTAGAAAGGGAAGGCCACTTGATGATGCTTGGCAACATGCTACTCCAGTAGATGGAAAGAAACAGAGGACAATTTGCAAGTATTGTGGATTTGTCTCTTCCTCTGGAGGCATTACTTATCTTAAGACACATCTGGGTGGGGGTGATCCAACGGGTTCGTTAAAGGGTTGTCCAAATGTGCCACCAGAAGTCAAAAGGGTGATGACAGAATGGTTACAAGGAACTATAAGAGGGGTGAATGCACCACAGCTAGAGGATATCAGGACTGACATGGAAGGTATGTTTCTGAAAATGTGGATGATTTTGAATCTCCTCTAATGTGGACGATTGTAACATCTTGACAGGAGTCTTTTGCTCCACAGAAAGATAATTTACTTCTATCGTTATGAGAGAAACTGAAGTGTTTTCAGGATGACCTTTTCTTTCCCGTCACTTAGCTTAAAATCTGTATGACTCAGAACTCCATTTTTTTGGTTTGGGCCACACCGCATTGTGTCTATTGTACACAGCCTTATTTTGCATTTATGCAAGAGGCTGTTTCCAGGGTTGAACCTGTGACCTCCTTTTGTGTATCAATCTAAAAGTAATTCATTGTCCTTGTAAAAGTTGAAAAGGATTATCTCATGAAAATGGATAAGTGCTGTCACTCTTTTTCTGGGCCTGTTTATTAGTTCAGCTTGCTGTTTGATTTGTTTTTCCAATTACTTAATTTTAATTAAATATATTCCCTATCCCTATTCCTGTTTCCCTGTCTCTCTGGTATCTCAGAGGGGGAAGACCGGGTTGGTTTTACACTGCTGTACATTCGTGATTTTTGATCACGATCTTTTGACCACCTTTAATTGCACTGCATATGGGAAGTGGCATCCTTTCCTGCAACTAGTATCTTCATATTGCTAAAATTTTGTATTACGGGAACAATTTGCTATGGCTGTGTTTCTTTATCTTAGAAGTGCTTCCATCACAGATAATTATTAATTTCCCCTTTACTATAACAAGTTTCTGTTAATGTTACTGTGCTAGGAAGGCTAACTGTTTGCTCTTTTTCTTCCTTTAATTTTTTTAGTACCCCCACCGTCAGTTAAGATTTATTTCTGAATGCTGTTGTTTGTACATTCTCCTCTTGCTCCTTTAAATTAGCAGCACGTACGTCAAAAAAATCTGTTAGAAGGGGAAGGCCACTTGATGCTGCCTGGGAACATGCTACACCAGTTGATGCAAAAAGGCAGAGGGCTGTTTGTAAGTATTGCGGTTTCATATCTTCTTCCGGAGGAATTACACATCTTAAGGCGCATTTGGCTGGAGGTGATCCAAAAGGGCCCTCAAAAGGTTGTCCCAATGTGCCGCCAGAAGTCAGAAGGGTAATGGCGGAGTCTCTGAACAGAACAGTGAAAGGGGTGAAGGCCATGCAGCCAGAGGAGATCAGGAGGTTCATGAAAGGTATGTTTCGAAGGATATAACACATCCAGAACTTGCCTTGATGAGGAAGTATGCAAGATCTCCACCGAGTTTTTAGAAAGCTATAATACATCTTTTGCTCTTCGAGAAAAGAAGGGTGTTGGAAAATTTTAGAATTACTTAACCCCTTGGTTTACATAGAACAGGAAGTAGCTAATGCAATTAGGTAGTACTAAAGTACTTGTCACCAGAAAAAGAAAAAAAAGAATTTGCTAAAATAAGGGGACAGGTTAACTCACCATTTGTTAGCCAAGCAATTTGCACCTTTTCTTGCTGTACACATTTCTACTTTTTCTATCTGGATAAAGTAACAATTTTTTTGTCCAAATGTTTCAGCCGAAAATGATTGGTCTCCTCCCAAGTCAGATGACTATTCGCTGAATCAACATAGAATTGTCAAGAACGAGCAGTACTCAAATTTAGTTAGTGGGGGAAATTCTGTAAAGGATATGACCATATCAAAGCAATCAGAGACAGCATGTGTTGATAGTTGTATGGAGGTTATAAGTTTGCATAATGCTTGTAAGTCGAGCTTTTTAAGCAAACCTGCAACTAGAGTAGGTTTTCTTTAACATAAAAATGCATCAGTAGATTGAGTACTAAGAGCTAGGAAGGGATGACTGCTTAATCTAATCGTGAGAGCATACTCTGTCAATTTATGACATGGCGAAACATACACGAGTACAGATGATGAAGTTGGTGGAGAGGTTGGTTCTTTTGATGTACAAATTGGTTATGAATCATATCTTAACCCGATACTTAGCAACTTTGTGACATTGCTAGTGATTGTATCTATGAATGTGTTGCTATGTTCCGTCCATCTTGGAGTGATTTTGAAAGATCTATTAAGCATGTTGAGAAAGTCCCCCCTAGCAAGGGACACCATTTGAAAGTTCTCAAGTCTGTTTATTGCTGTGAATGCGAAACTGAAATGGCTGCATTAGCATCATGCGACCCTCACGGAGACTAAATCAGCAATGCTTTAGCCGATGTTACCAAAGTGTTGCGAGGGTAAGAAATATAATTTCTGAGTAAAGATGTGAAGGATGCTTCAATGTGAGATTGAGACTTTGGAAATTGAATTGAGCAAACACTCGAGTACTAACCAACATCAGGGACAAGCTTGTGTTAATATGCAAATCAATTGCCGATGGACTCTGTAGATTTTCTGTATATGTTCCTGTATTTTTTGAGCTGGTTTGAGATCACTATAACTTTTTCTTATAGTTTAAAAATATTGCCCTTCGTGCGAGTTCTTCTATTGGAACCCGTGTGCCAGTCTTTGTTACTACTCTGTGGCTCCATTGTGACAGCTATATGTGAGAAATACGCAACGTTCTCTAACCTTATCTATTTGGAACGCACGTCGCTTGTGTACATTTCATTAAATTTCCTTTTCTTCTTAATTGCGAACCAGATAATACATAGGACATATTGCTAGTTTGATGTTTCCATATGTGAATTCGCTGAAAAAATGAGCTCTGCCTTCATGAGTAGGAAGTTTGCCAGTAAGCTGTCACTTTAAACAAGACAATCAATTTTAATAGTGCAAGTAATCCATATTAACGTCCCTCAAAATTTCCATTGTTAAAACAGCTGACCTTCATTCATTTGGGATTTCATTCCCTTTTGCTTTTGTTTTTCCGTTGTTTTTTGTTTTTAATTTTAAGATTAAGAAATACAGTATTGAAGACATATCTGATATTAGGCAATTGTCCTTAAATCTGAACATTGAATAATGAAGATTGCGTTTGAATGTGTATAAATTCTTTATTTTAGTTAACAGTAAGTCTAGGTATCCGACATCGTTGATTGTCCCTAGTGTGATTCAATTTGTGTTTGTTAGTCTTTTGCTACTATGCTATGATATGATAGCACATGTCAGTTCTTTAATTTGATATGGTTTCTGATTTGCAAGACCCTTGGACCAAATGTCTCGGGTTGACATAAGACAGTTTTGGTGAACAAGAGGCTGTTAGAAAGAAACGAGACAATGATCAGAGACACTTCTAATCAAATTCTAATTCTGGTGGTCCGTTATTAGTCTTAGAGTTTCCCTCCCAACTAATGAAGGAAATTATCGAGGACAGCAAACGAACCACGAAAGACGATTAGTTGCAAAATAACTAAAAATAAAGTAAAGTAGCTAACTAATCATCGTGCATCTAGCGTGTTAAAGGTGGAGAGAAAACCAAGAGTCGAGATTTCGCGAAAGAGTGACGCTGCAAGATATCCCCTGGAACTGCCACTTACTTAGCCTTGAGTACACGAGAACGATATTCTCCCAGTGCCCAAATTGGGAAAATGTTCCTATATGCAGAATAGGATATCATGCAATTCCTGTTGAAGACCCCGCTGATCTCCTGAGAAATATAAAGACGGTCGATAAGTAAACAAATTATCCAGCCACATATTAGAAAGAAATAAAAAGTAGTAAATAAGATTATTAAGCTCCACATGCGACAAGCATAACGAAGCACCTACATATTAAATTGAGATTTCAAAACAACTCCACTACCAGTTTATCAAGTTTTATTAACTCAGAAATGTAATGTAGTAGTGCAGTTTGAATAATTAAAAGAAAACATTCAAGTTTCAATCTGTATAGAGGCCTGCCTTTTTAGTAGAAAGGACACCAAAGTTGTCATACGCAGTGAAAACCATAAAACAGAGGAAAATATATTGGACCCCTAAAATCATGAAACAATGTAACGCCCCGTGTTTATCCAACACTGTGTATAATACATTTGAAAGGTACTAAGGGATTACCATGCTACTGGCGCAAATATTATCCTACATCAACACTAAACCAAAATGCCATCTTCTTACCCCAACCGTTGTACTTGAGTAGACTTCTTTGACTTTAAAAAAAAAAAAAAACTGATTAACTCTTGAGGGCCAGTGTGGCACGCAGTTCGAAAGTCAACAGATAATGAGCCCGCCCTTTTACCCATCTCCATTGAAATAAAAGACTTGTCTGCAGCGGGCTTTTTAAACAAGACGATTAGAAATATGAAAATTTTGACCTTATTTACTGAACCAGCATCCACTAGTTCTTTATTCTCCCATAGCCAGGTACTCTTATAAGCTAACTCTCCCACGAAAGATACCCAACACTTAACCAGATTCTCTTGAACAATGTAGTTTATATTTACATACTTCCTCTCCCAAAACTGTATGCAGCTCTGAAGTCAATTTAAGCCCCAAACTCCATCCAAGAGGCACAGCCAATTAAACCAAATCAAAACTCTGAGGCAAGCGCTTAGGCAACCTTTTAACTTGCAAGTCAAAAAGTAAAAGGAGGGTACGCTCTTTTCAATAATAACAACCAGGCACCTGTTCGTATACAGTACAAGCATTTTTAAGCTACAGGGACTGGAAACTGCAGAATTACCTGCTGAGGAAAATCTCCATTTTCTAGCTGAGCATTTATTAATGCTTTTGCTGCATGGTGTAATGGTGTGGGATTTCTCTCAGCCTGCAATTGTTTAAAGGGAAAAAAGTAAACTTCAGCGAAAGAGGTGGCCATTTTGATTTATAGTTTCACATCTCAGTAATTTATAAGGGTGTGTTTGTGAAAGGGATGACAGCCCTCAATTATAATCACTAAGCAGAAGACTCCAACATTTTCAAAGATGTACAAAATATTCAGCTGAAAGGTGTATGCAGATCCAACAATTTGGGATGTATTGATAACACAAACATTCTGCTTGAACATTTCTGTCTCAGTATCTCAAATTAGGACCAACCATGTAAATCAACTTACTAGAAAATGCCAAATGAGGCGGAGGATTAAGTGAGGCGGAGGATTCTCTTACATGGAAAGGAGGCAAGGGCTCTAAATTTACAGTCAAGGCAGCATACAACTATCTATCATCCAGAGGACACCCCAACTATCCTTGGCCTTGGAAAAAGATTTGGAAGATCAAAGCAACATTCAAAGTTATTTGCTTTTCATGGTTAGTGGTAAGAAAAGCCTGCCTCACTCTAGAAATTCTCCAAAGAAGAGGTATTCAGACCAGCTCTACATGCTTTCTATGTCAACAGGAAGATGAAACCAATGAGCATCTTTTCTTACATTGTGTTATTACTAGACAACTTTGGCAGCTCTTTATAGCACTAGCTGGTATTGTTTGGGTAATGCCCAAAGACACCATTGGCCTGNTGCACAGGCCCTCGGCAAGGAGTTTCCCGCAAGTGCACCACGGTTAATTCAGGTTTTACCCAGTCCGATGGCCCTCAGAAATTGTTTGCACCCAGTGGGTTTCGAACTTGAGACCTTGAAAGGGAGCAAACCCCAAGGCTCAAGTCAATTGCCACCAGGCCAACCCCTGAGGGTTGAAACCAATGAGCATCTTTTCTTACATTGTGTTATTACTAGACAACTTTGGTAGCTCTTTATAGCACTAGCTGGTATTGTTTGGGTAATGCCCAAAGACACCATTGGCCTGATATGCAGCTGGAACAGTATTAGGGGAAGAACCTGTCACAAGGAATGGTGGAAGATTGTTCCAGCTTGCATATCATGGACAGTTTGGAAGGAGAGGAATGCAAGATGTTTTGAAGGCAAGAGCAGTTCAACACAAAAAACACAAAAAATCAAGAGTTCTTGTATTTTTCTTTTTCATTTTTGGTGTAAAGAACAACTGATAGGTGATGTAGAATCACTACTAGATCTTTTTGATTCTCTGTAAGATTTTCAGGGGCTGTACTTGTAAATATTAGATACCAGCCCCGTTTTATGGGTGCTGAAGAATATAATTGTTACCTTTTTCAAAAAAGAAAATGCCAAATGCTTCATAAAGTTCTTTCAATATATCTTGTTAAAAAGAGCAATTTAAAAGTAAAGAAAAGTCAAGAGCAGAAGAAATATGTCCCCAGAAGCAAGGAGTATGCCCGCGTGTTTCAACGAGAACACCTTAAACCCTAAAATCGCCAATCTAATTAAAGTTAGCCTTTAAAAAAGCACATCATTGAAGACTCAAGAAATAACAGTTCACTATTGATCCCAAAGCGCCC